CAATACGATTTTATGGCAATGAATATTATAAAGGGTCAATTTTGTCCTCTGGTACCTTTGGCCAGGATGACCATTATAGAAACTTGTTTCACTGCTTTCAGTGCTTTCACTGATGTTGTAGTGAGGTGAAGTTGTTGTTTTGGTTGCTATTAAGGCGACTTTGGATGACACATTTAACAAGAAAGTGTAATGTATTTGTCTTTCAGACTCACCCGCCTTTTTCACTAGTATCAAATCTCAGGAAGCGATGATCTCTGTCATGTTTATCACGCATGTAACATGATGTGCACAAGTCAACACTTGATTCCTTACAATCTAAACAATTCCATCGTAATCCAGCTATTGGACATTGCTCACAAGCTTCGCACGTTGTCCCTCCATGCGCTATACCTAGAAGCAAACATTAACAATGCTGCCATCAAGTTATTTGCAAAAAAAGAATCACGAAGAAATTCAACTCCGATAAACTTAGATCGTTCTACAGCTAAACTTTGTTTATACGGACACTTAGGGGCCATAGACAGCAGGGCGTATAAAGGTTGGGCGGTGAAACGAGCGCGTCCGAGCAAAAAGGTGTGATGCAGTGGACTGGGACTCTGCTTAGAAATGTCGCTTGTTTTCGACTTGGGTCAGGGCTTGCGATGTGGTTTGTACATTAGACACTGCCGCTGTCACTGAATTATGGCAGCTTGATTTGTTTTCTTGCACTTCTTCCTCGTTCCTTTGTGCTGGTACGCTGACTCCGAGATGCAAATGTTGCTATTTTTTGCGAGAGGTTTAGTTGGAGTAGACAAACATCTCTTTCAAAGGGTTTCTTTTATTACTACCATTACTCTACCACTGAATTATATTTTCGTTCTGCTACTCGCCAATGTCGATGTTATTCCTAAACGAAAACAACTAAGTACTGTCTAAAACACGAAGGAAAATCTCATCCATGTCATTCTTAGCAAAACTAAAAGACAGCAGTAGATGACGTGTATTTTATAAATGCGTGCAGCTCGTGCAAGGTGAAATTATGCTAATTTCAATCACCATCATCCTTCTTTTTAATTTTGAAAAAAACATCTCATACGTCTTTCTGTTACTTGGAAACTTCAAAATTAGTTTCCCCTCAGTTTTTACTGTTTACCTTGTTTTGTTTTAGAGAGAAAAACGGAGAAAAAACCTTTCAACTAACCTCAATAAATTTTGTTTACATGCGGTTGCTGGATTTGCAACGCATTGCGCGAATCGCCATAACGCGTTGCACCCGAGAAGCAAAGTTTGAAGAAGTACAACGCCACTATATCAATATATATCAATCTAATTTTTTGTTATGTTATATAAGATTTATCCCTCTTTAACATATGTAAAAATTGAGGTTAAGAAGTGTTAAGCTTTTGCAAACGAAACGGTGAAAGACGATTAGGTGATATTTAGTGGAAGCGGGAGGTATTCAACACTTTCAAATAAAACTCAAATTTTGGCATTATACGACCAACAAGTTTGACTGATAGACGTACAGACACAAACATATGAAACTGTTTATTGATATTGTTATGAAACGAATTTATCTATTTAACATTGTAGCCAGAAATTACAGAAAGAAAATAGGATTTCCGGTTTCCAAAAAGGAAAATTTCGCCGGCCTTCAAGCGCACCGGAAGCGCGGAAAGAGCGCTCGTGCCAGTCCTACTCCGCATCACACATTAAATGAAGAGCGGAGCGCTCGTTTTACCGCCCAACCTTTATCCGCCCTGATAGACAGTGTCCGTAAAAGGCGGTTCACGTTATTGAAGTAAAAAATACCGTACACAACCTTCTATTTGAATAAAATACCAAAATTGTAACGAAACAAAACAGGACATTAGCATCGTCAAATTAAACGTCTGTAATCTTCACAAATCCGTAATTCCGCGGACTGTGTCTACGGAAATACTTAAAAGTCGCTGATTTTGTACATTACTTAATCATGAACCGTTCTCTGCGTAACTCGTGTGATGCCTAAATAGTCTGAAATTGGCCTCTACAATTTATTCTGTCCGGGGAAACGTAGTGTTGGGGACACAGACATGCTGTTAATTATCTGAAGGGTTTTTTTTTTACTCGTTCAAAAAGGACACATTAACTTCACGGGGGAGGGGGGGGGG